TTTCTCGGAAACCAAACAAATGAAGGACTGCAAATAGTCTGTCCTGACTATATATTATATTACTGCTGTAGAATGGAGAAAACCCAGAATTCTTGTAATCTGTCATATTGAGATCAAAACATTTTTTTTAATATCCCTTGGTGTGACAGGCATTATTGTCATATTACAGAATTTTCAAAGTTAAGAGTTTTACTCAGTTATTCATAGATTGGTTGTTTTAGAGCATGCAACTAACATGTGGGAAATTCCTGTTTTGCAAAGACTTAATATGTTATGTTGCCATTTTTTTCAACCCAAATTAAAACCCAGTTGGTAGAATCTATCACCATATGAATAAAAGTTTGGTCGATTTGTGTAAACAATTTTTAGCAGCATGTTGAAAAAAAAGATGTATAATAATAAGGTTGTTACGAGGATACCTCAAAGTATGCACTCAGGCAGTACACTGTTGCATTGACCTCTACTGCGAGTCAGTCGATACTCCCAGTGTACTGTCTTCGTGCATACTTTTGAGGTATCTTCATAATAACCTCATATTATTATTATACCTACCCTAAAATGTAATCAGCATATATATAAAAGCCTTTCAGATTTGGTGACTGGCATCCTCTGTAAACAAAGCCACCAACAACGGCATTAACATTACCAGTCTCAGGTGTGTGTTCATAGAAATGAATTGGCAGCTGGTCATCATTATGCATATCATCTGTAGAATTGAAAGACATAAGTTTAGCAATGTGTATTGTGTATAGGCACAGACAAATGAGACATGTCTGCTTTTATTATTAATAAATTATTACAGAAAATTACAAAATCGATTCACATACACAATTGTTTGCAAATGTGCTTAGTACACAGTTGAAAGATTTCCCAGACTCAAAATTCAGAAAGATTTGTCTTGCAAATTTATAGGGTAAATTAGTATCCCTCCAGTGTTAACCACAGCAATAAGTTACAAGTGAAAATAATTTAAAGCAATCTACAGTATTATTTTCTTTCCCAACACAATAACAAGTTAATATACTGGTAATACAAAACCACTACTTATTTTAATATTCAATATTCACTGAAAACTGCACACTGAGTTGACTCACGTAATTTATTGTCACTCATGATTACAAATATAAACCATAAGAGAGAAAAATATTTTCCATGCATTTCATTGTTGATAAATTCCAAGTGAAAATAAAATATTTTACAGTATGTTTTTTCATAGATGCCTTTTGTATACTTTATAGTTGAAATCTTCGGATGTGCATCATAGATCAAAAACAGTAGTTATGGCTTTCAAAAGTTATACACGTCTGAACTTGTTGCTCAGTGGCTAACACCCCCATCATGCAACACAGATTAGGAATAGCCTAGGACATGCCCAAACATCATTTTACGGTCAAATGAATTCTATTGTTTTCAGTGTCATAAAGTATAATAATACTTCATACTTCCAAGGCTACAAATAATACAATTTTAATCAACTTACCAAGATTATCACACATTTCTTTCTCTTCATCATTCAATCGACAAAGATGTCCTTCCCGGTGATACCATCCATAGTAACTACCTTTATGAATTACATTAATTTCCTCTGCTATGTTATCACCAACATCACCACAGAATATTGTACCTCCATCGTTGCCTAGCAATCAAAATTACAGTACGATGTTAAATTTTCATAAAGATTCAACTTAGACAATGAATAATGAGCAGTTGTAATATAATTGAGTAATGAAAACTAAATAATAGCATGGGTAAATCTGTGTTTACTACATGTGAGGAGGAGAGACCCTATACATATATACCAGTGAATGTTGTTAGTTGTGTACCGCTGGTTACAGACTGTTTTCTCGCTATCGTCACATTTGTAAAAGCCCAAATACTTCTCAATATACTCTATATAGTGAGTTCTAACATAGACCTTCTAAGGTCTACTCTATGGTTCTAACAACAATACAAAGGCTGAATGCCACTTTAAACCTGATGGTCTGTTTTTCAGTTTTTCAAGCGTATGAGCATATAGTAAACATAAAAGCAACTAAACAGCTATATTTTCAAAATATACTTCCTACTGGATTTACCAGTAAATGTATTATACACAGGTACATAGATATGCAATCATTCAAATAGGACTATAATATATATTTTTTTCTGTAAGCCATTGTGTGATTTTGAGGATTCAAGGGTACCCCGGTATATATTGGTAGAAAATTGAAAAAATATTGAAAATTTTCCCCAATTATGAGCTCTACACCAAATAGTTGGATCAGGAAGATACAAAATGGTAAAATACAGCTTAATTTAAGGTATAGATGCAGGTTCGTGGGCACTTGAGAGTGAATTTTCTTTTTTTTTGCTTATTATTATCCAAACAGTCTTGGCTATAGACTGTAAAATTTCACAGCATTGTGAATAGTGGAACATACTCAAAAGACGATTTTAAAATATAGAAAACTGGTACAAACATTCTCTCTTTTGAATGTATAGTTAATCCCTGTCAGTATTTCACACTTCGAATGTCATTGTCCGAGAATGCAAAGCTTTAAAAATAAGCCCAGACGTCCTTTTGTTTGTAGAGACGTTGTCAAAATAGTGTGAAAATGTCAAGACAAACTGACAAAAACTGTGGGACCTAATTAATTTTCAATCTCTCTGACTGACCAACCAGAAAACACGAACGGAGATAATGGTCGTTTTATGAAAGTGACGTTAAATCGTCCACAAAAATGGCTATTGCATCACAACGACATGCCAAAATCCATCATACACCGATGCTTGCTGATGTTCAATCGTCAGATAAAAAAATAAAATAAAAATATTTAGAATACTAGGGAAACGAACGTAAAATCGTCCACGGAGTCAAAACCTTGCGTGAAGACTGTCATGGCGTTGTGTTATCTTTTCCACTTAGGGAGGGGCACAATGGATTACGTAAAGCCAATGAGATATTCATGCAGTTATATAAACATAGCGATCCCCATTGGGTGGGTTGAGTCTATATTTACGTTTCCTCAAACCTTTAAAAAATAATCTGTATGACGCAGTTTTTCACGATCTCAGGTGAAATGGACCGTGCGAAGTTAGAGGGCCAGGTTGAAATGGGCCGTAATATTTTGCTACACAACGGCTATTCACAGTTTTTGTACTTAATCCCTCAAACGCCGGAGAGAAAAAGTCAAATGGAAGACAACTATTGTAAATCTAAACAGGTTTCATTCAACTACGAGCAGACGAGGCAGGTCGATAAAAATTAAAACGAACCCTGACCGCTGGAAATACCTTGTTGCCGATGTTTCTGTAATTTTCGGGGTATTTTTTATTTTTTAATTAACCCAGCATTTTACGTTTGTGTATTTTGCCACTGAAAAGTTATCGATGACAGCACAGCAATGGTCTGAATGGTGTTTATCCACTACTACATCGCAATGCTATCAGCACGGTGATCGTTACAGCGAAACGACAAATGTATAATTAGTCAGTTTTATAATGCCTTCGGAGAAAAAAAATGTGTGAAATAAAAAATATTTAACAGTACTCCACTGAAAGCTGCCAGGCTAGAAGTTGTCGACATGTTGCAAGATAAGGGTGAAAAAGTTTACTTATCATTTACAACTGTATGTTTTTTGTATTCTGCTTGCATTCTGGAAATGTCTAGATCTTGTCTTTTTTTTGTAGTTTGCAAGACTAGTTGTTGGTTGATTACTTGAGGTAAGTTAAACAGGGTCGCGGACAGGAAGTTACACATCGCCGCACCGTAACTGAGGCCAGCAACTCATTTGCATATAACATCAACAGTGACTTGTCAATCAAAGAGCAACGTAAACAAACTTTCAGGACTTTTAATCACATATGCGTGTCTCGATTCCCTATATTTTAAAATCTATTTTAGGGTACGTTCCAGCATTGACAATGTTCCGAAATTTCAACACTATCTAGCCAAGACTGTCTGGGTAAGAAAAGCCAAAAAAAAAAAAAACTCACTCCGAGTGCCCACAAACTTACCATCTATAAAAAAATCAAGTAGAGTGAAAGGCAATCTCTTAAGTCAGCTATAGAGTCAAATTTTGCACTAATGAGCATGTTACTGCACATATATGCAATGCATTATGGGAAACAAATTCAAATTTTGCACTAATGAGCATGTTACTGCACATATATGCAATGCATTATGGGAAACAAATTCAAATTTTGCACTAATGAGCATGTTACTGCACATATATGCAATGCATTATGGGAAACAAATTCAAATTCTGCACTAATGAGCATGTTACTGCACATATATGCAATGCATTATGGGAGACAAATTCAAATTCTGCACTAATGAGCATGTTACTGCACATATATGCAATGCATTATGGGAAACAAATTAAAATTTTGCAATACTGAGCATGTTACTGCACATATATGCAATGTACCGGTTTACGATGAAGAAATATTATCACCCTGGAAACCCACTAAATTATATGTAAAGTTTGTTAAATATTTCCACAATATTTGGATTCACGTCAGTAATATATGACGTTTTCATCCCATGATACTCAGCAAAATTTTGACATATGAAGAAATAATCTCACCATGAAAACCAGTGTAAAAATTACAATTTTGACCATTTTTCGTGACACTTTGAACTTTTGTATCTTAAAAAAATGCTGGTAACCCAATAGTTTTTTGTTTATTTTCATTATTTTGATGGAACAACCCCATAGTAATGAAAATATGGTGATCATGACATAATTTGATTTCAGCTCCAACCTCCTGAAAAGATACTTACCATCTGGTAGTGAACCAGGATCCACTGAACATCTCCACGGATTGTGAAATCCATATGCATATATCTCAGGCCTAGCACCAACTACGTTTACAAATGGATTATCAATGGGTATTTGATAAGGTTCATCATCATCTTCAGTATCAACATCAATTCTTAGTATACTGCCAAGTAGATTGGATCTGAGAAGTGCACACAAAATATAACTTATTATAGCATAATGTACTGTGACTTATTCTTGGAAGATTTCCCCGCCAAACTTTTGTTGCAAAAATTTGTATTTATTTAAATATTATTTTGTTAATTTTGGTCCAAATGGACATTTTATATTGAATACAATTTTTGAAGAAAAAAGATTATTTTGTGGTAGTAACAAAAACAGACATTCTCATTCACAGGGTGGATGTGACAAGCTAGTGAAAAAATTTAATTTAAAAGCAAATGGACATTTTTTCTGATTGAAAGGTTCCATCAAATAAAACAAAGTGTAAATAAAAGGAAATGAAACCAGAAACCATGAAAACAGATTTGACTTTTTGATTACCCACAAGCATTTAAACCCTACTTTGGTGGTCAATTTGGATTGGAAAATGAGTCAGAACTGGTTTTTCTTCTGAATATCAAACACAAAGAATAACTTAGCAAAGTTTCAAAAGATTTCTTTGTTAAAATTGTTTTAGCCATGTTTAGCCATGACTTTTCATATTTCAATGCCATGAGGATACTTATATATGGATGTTAATACAAAAGCAATATCACCATGGCAACATGATCTCACTCAAAAGTTACAGCTGAACAAAATACTTTAACCACAAAATCACTGTTTAATTAACTTTTGTTTGTTTTCGACAGAATGTACAGTGCTCTTGTTTAGAGCATAGTAACCATATTAGATCAGGACACCATCTGCTTAATATAAAGCCTTTTTTGTTATAAACAAACAAAATATTTGCCTCAAAGAGGTTTACCTCATTGCTTAGAAAGTAATTAATTGTTTTCTTGCACAAAATTTAAAATTATGTGTTCTTAAACTTAACCTCTGCCTAAATATCGAACATTTGTTAAACGGGTAAAAACCAGA